GGAGGCCTGGAAATATCGTGCGAAATATCCGGCAGCTTGCATGCAATCATCCACTCAATTACATACGTACCGCGCCGACTCGGCGGCGCGAGAGAGATTCGAGCGATCGAGCATCGCCGAATTGTGATAAGCCGGCGCGCGGGCTGCCAGAGACCTCGATACGATCGCGAATTCGGACGGATATAATAGACTAAAGCCGAATGTCGTATATTATTCTCGGATCAATTTCCAATTTTGCGAGAGATCGAAGAGTCGTCTGTGAAATCTCCGGAAACATCGACCGACTTTTTTAACGATAAACTTTTCAACAACTAATAATATTATATTTCGTACATATAATGGCGAAATGCTGGAATTAACACGAAGTATGAATTTTAAATATGTGTAATAGAAGAGAACCATTTTTTTCGAATGATTACAAAATCGTCAAATGTAATAAACACTTCTTTATTATATTTCCTTATCTTTTCTCTCGACGTTGCAATTAGCGCGATTAAGCTCCGCAGAGAGAGAGAGAGAGAGAGAGAGAGAGAGAAATTCTGCGCGACAGCATTCCCGCGCGTTCTTAAAATTGATATGAAGTGCGAGGAGAGAGAGAAACGACTGGACATTTTTCTCGTAGCGAAAAATTTCCCGTGGCGCGAAAAGAAAGTGGAAGAGGAAGAGACGAGGAGGTAGACCGTCACGAAATTCCCCACGAAACGGAACGTCAGCGTAACCCACACCGACGTCTTCTTCCTCTCATGGAACATGTAAAGACGGCGAATAACAACGGACGTTTTCCGTTTAAAGAGATCGCCCGTGCCGGGCGTAGAGAGAAGAAAACTCACGGGCATAGTTTGTTGATATCCTCCTTTTTCGTGACGAAACTCAGGTCGCTATTGCTGATTCTCTCAAGGGGTCTGGCGCACCTCACCAGCTCCTCGTGTCCGCACTCTTCACCTCGGCAGCTAGCAAGCACTGAAACAGAAACGCGATAATCGGGTTAGCTAAGAGAGAGAGAGAGAGAGAGAGAGAGAGAGAGAGAGAGAGAGAGAGAGAGAGAGAGAAACGTGATCGATTCGCGAAATGTAAGAGGCAACAGGGACTCGACTCGATACGTCGTCCCCATCGATAACAATGTTATTAGTAAGGGAATCGCAAAGAGCAGCGCTGTTTCTCGAATTCGATTAAGCGCGCGACGAGCACGCGGAATCGATGTTGCCGTTGCGGCGTGATTGCAGCGGAAATATCAAACAAGTTTAATTGACGTGGAAACAATGCAGATTGCACCTAGAACTTCATACTCGGACGGATCTCCAATATTCTCTCATTTCGATGGAGTTGTATCACGAGATATATCGTACACGTCTGTCGAGCAAGACATTATACTTAAAGTTTATATCATATTATATATTTCAACAAGAAGAATTCAAGAAGAATGTAGAAACAACTTTTGCTCAAGTATTTAGCTAGATATACGAATCTGAAAAGAATTTTATTGTACCATTAAAATAATTATGTAGAGCGTTCAAACTGGTTGTTAAAATATCAAAAATCTCTTGAAGGATCGCTCATAATGCGTGAAATTTCTACCTAATTATTTTGATACTCCAACAAAATTATATTCAAGTCTTCGTCTAGCTGAATTTTTTTCGATACTTGAGCAAAATCATTTTTTTCCGTACATTACTCTCTGAAAAATTTTTACTAGGAATTAAAATCTTAATAAAATAAATTTTGCTTCGACTTGATTTAAATAAAAATAAGAGATGTCGGAAATATTACGTAGGGGAAACCGGGGCACCATAGGTCATCGACATGTTGACATAATCTAGAATGTTTAAATTAATACTACTGGTACTTAATCAATACGACTGTTACTTCGTTGCCCATACTTTTTATCTAGATGGTAGTGATTAAATTCCATTATATCGAGAGAAAAGTCGATCTTGACCCAGTTCCGGTTTCTATCGGTCATTAATGATTTTCGTAATGCAATAGTAACTTTTTAACCGCATAAAAATGTTTTTAATATTGTTTTAGTAGAGAATACATATATAAAGATAAAGTGCAAGTTTCTGCGCATCTTTTCTCAATTTACCACGTTACAAGTAATAATCTGACATTAATTTTTTTATAGTTTTCTATTAAATATATAATTCAATGTATAGTTGGGTCATACATTAAATATTCATGACAAAACGGAACAATATAGAAAATACATGTACTAAAAAGGCAGTTTATATTTCTAAGCAATTAATTTTATTTTATCGTAATAAATCCTTCTCATCTTATATTAATAGTTATTTCTCATTTGTTTTTTCTCATAACTTTCTATTTCATTATTTAATAATTATTAGTCGTAATTATATTTTATTGTATTAGTGATCATGCTAACAAGTGTAAGTTAAATACTTTTCAACTTTTATTTCTTGCGTAATCCTATTATTTTGTGTGTGACTTATGGTACCCGGGTCATTATGAGGCACCGTGGGTGTCATTTCTTAAAAAACATGTTTTTATTTTTTTCTTAAAAACTAATAAATATTTACCAAATATACTTGTTAAATTTTAAAATATGTATTATGCTTTAATTATTAAAAAAAACATAATACAAACATTTTTATATTTAGGCGCACTTTTAAGAGTTACAATTTTTACGACTCGTGTGTGTGTGTGTGTGTGTGTGTGTGTGTGGGGGGGGGTCTCCCCTATGTATTTTTCTCAAAGTTTGATTCGCTACAGCCACATATCTCTCTCTCCATATTTTTAAACCGCTGAAATCACTATCAAGCCCGTTTTCTCCATCTTTCATCCTTTACCTGTCTATCATCAGTTATAATGGTTCTGTTGTTAAAATCTTTTGTGTCTGAATTTTGAAAATGAAATTACAGCAACGACGGCAGCGGCGAGCACACACATAAGACGCGCTGCTCGCGTGTGAGTATCGGTGGTCACACGCGAATTTGGGATGCAGGATAAAAAACACAGGAAATGCATTCGCCGTCCGAGCTAATGATGACGAATGGCGCGCGATATTATCACGGCGTCATGTGCCGTTGGCGAAAAACCATTCGTTCATATTAGGAAGTTGATTTGGATTTAATGGGGGGAGCATCGTTTGCTAGTTTAGCCGCGCTTTCGTCGTGCTTTTCATTCCAACTTTTGGAAATTCATTACCAATTACGCCATATGCGCGGTTCGCAAATGTTATATACACGTACATTTGCTCGGTACCTGAAGGCACTATGCTCTAATTTTAATACGGAAGACAGTTTTGCAAATTTAAAGTCGATTTATCTAACAAATCTGAAATTTGGTAAAAAAGTTTGCGTCTCAACTTTTTTCAACAACTCTCATTTAGTAATAAATCTCGAAATGCACAAAAAAGTTTATCAATCTATACGGGTATACGGTGTATATACGGGAATGTTTCTGCTTCTTCTAATCGCACGCCAGAAAACGTACCTGTATCTCGAAAATTATCGGTGCCTCGAGATCTTAATTAAGAAGAGGCCGACTCTAAATTGATCAAAGAATCCGTCATTAAATTAAAGTCAAAGATGCCGAAACATTCTGTACAAACACTCTAGCAGGGTAAAGGGAACACCGTATCCCGCCTTTTAAAGGGGAGGGTGCGAATCTCAGGACATTCTCGGCGAAATTATGAAGTACTTTCAAGAGAGAGCTTTACACTTTCCTCGTAATAAACAGGCTATTGTAAGGAAAGGATAGAAACCGGAACTGGGTCAAGATCGACTTTTCTCTCCCGATACCACCAAATGAACTTATAACTTCCGCTCGAAACCGATTACCCGGAAGTGCCACTTTCGAGGTAATAAAAGAGAACCGGCGGTAGAGACCACTGCTCTCCGTCTCTCCATGTAACACCTGCAACTCTTCTTCCTATCATCTCCCATCCCATGTATGTTTGCTCTAATATAGAGTTTCTGTATACGCGTGATGGTGCTGCTAATGGAAAGTTACGTTACATCTCACCGTCATGATGAAAAAGTAAAATAAATGGGTGTTATATTTAAGCCCGATGGAAATGTTCAAACGTCCATTACCTATGTCGATATGTCTTATAAATTATTTGAAATATCAAATGTTTTATGCAAGAGATCTTACTTTGCTTAAGAAGACGACGATAAAGTGAAATATAATAGAAACGAAGTAGTGTCCGTATGAATCAGAAAAGGAGAACATGCGAATTAACAATTTATCTTGTAAAACTTTTCTTTCCGTGATTACTTTCGGACTACTGAATCGTACGCTTTTTTTTTTTTTTTTTGGAAAAATCATTCTCGAAATATCTCGAAACATATTATACATTAGTCGTTCACGTAATACAGATATTGAATAATCTTTGCAATCTATACGTCGTATTTGTAAACATAGCATGCGTTCAGATAAACATTGCAAATTAATGTTTGTAGTTGCTACTGATGCTACATCGTTACCAAGACATGAGATTGCTAAAACATATTACGATAAATACGATCCTCGTCCTATTTGAAGGGAAAGAATCGTATATTCCTCTATTAAAATTTACCGTTAACAGGATAAAGTTTTCGAGAAAAAGAAAGATATCGCGTCCGGAAAAGAACGTCTTACTCGATTAAAAAATTCATTCGGTAAATTCAGTTCAGTCAGCAACATTAGCGAGACTCGGCCGATATGTGAAATACAGCCCACGATTCTTGCAAAATATTTGCGCAATAAACAATAAATAAATATATAAATCTTCAACTGGGACAAATCGTCCAAACGCGAGGTTTCTTTCAATTCCTTCGAGTCTAATAGGATCATTCGTCCCAGAAGAGATTTATATATATTTATTTATTGTTCCGCGAGAGAAACTACAAGTTTCTTTACCAAGTAGACCCTTTACCAAAACGGGGAAAACTCTGGCGTTTCCCTGAGACAAGATGCGAATTCTACGAGGAAGGGAGGAAGAGGGTATTGGATGCATCGCGCAAAATATGGCGCCGTGTATATCGTGTGTTTCATTACATCGATTTGGTGATGCGTGCGACAAACTACGCGACTAATCCCTCATGCGGCGCGTCGATGACCAATGTCATTAAATTTAATTACAAACTATCGAAATTATTGGAGAACTCGACCGACTATCGCGGTAACGACCAAACGATTCGGCGAGCTGTCCGCGAAACTGGCCGCGGCCTACTCTATATAGCGATGCAATTGTTTTGTAAACCGAATGCAACAATGGGACGACGGGCTTCGTCTGCCCGTGATAAATCTGTCCTTCGATGATTAAACAAATAACTCCGTCCCAACGGGACTTGTCGAACGATTTATGCAATCGTCGATTGAAATAACATACAACGATAGCGTTTCGATATACTGTCTTCTTGATATACCTGTCGCTACTATAAATTTTTTCTACAGACATAAATTTTCTCTACAAACGATGTATAAATCACGTGAAAATCATGCAACCGTATTATTTTTTGTATACCGAATCTTTCATACAAGTGATACTTGAGTGAAATTTGGTGGTACATAACAATCTTTTTATGTAATAATTTTTTAAGGAGAATTAAAACTACTCGGGAGAATTAAAACTACTTGCAATAAAAAGACCGTCCATGAAAAGATAGTATCACTTGGGTTTTACTTTTTAATTTGATACAGTTTCCTTTTTCCGAGGATTATAAATAACGTGAAAATTATATAATCACTTTCAATATAAACGGTAATAAAACCTTTTAATTAAATGAAAAATGGGCTACGATATAATTATACAATTATCGTAATTATTAATTTCTACAATAATATCTGTCTTCATAATGGATAAACGAACAAAAGTATAAACAGACCATCTTTTTCAGAGATGGTTATCCCTCTACCGCAACCCATTTTCTCATCTCCGATCGCATTTCGTTTTCTGGTTCTTCTACTTGCTTTCTCCGCTCGGCTAAGATATCACTCGTGAGAAGAGTACCAGGCTT